GTGGAATTTGAGGCTCGTTCGAAATTGAGAAGACTCACCCAGAGGGGTGTAGTTCGAGAATATGTGAAAGAATTCTCGGAGCTGCTTCTAGAGATCCCGGACATCACGGACAAGGAGGCCATGCACGACTTTCTTGATGGGCTGCAACCATGGGCCAAGATGGAGATGCAACGTCGAGGAGTGCAAGACCTTGCAACTGCCATGGCCACGGCGGAGTCTTTTGTCGAGTACAAAAGGCAAGAGAGCAGCGGCAAAGAGAAGAGTTCAAAGCCCAACAAGGGTGGAGAGCAGCAGAAGCCTTTCAAGGAGGGTTCTCGCACTCAACAACACCAAGGTGGTTCGAGCAAAGGGGGTAAGTACGAGCCAAAACCCATGTCTTGTTTCCTTTGCCACGGACCACATCGAGTGCCGGATTGCCCAAGGAAGGCGAGATTGGCGGCCATGGAAGCTCAAGAGGAGGAGCCCAAGGCGGCGGAGGCCAAGATTGGCTCAATCCGCAAGCTTGGCGCGGTGAAGACCGACGTCAAGGAGAGCAAGCGTGGGAGGTGCTATGTTCTGGCGCAATTCATGCAAGGCGAGTCAAAAGCCTTGGTGGATACCGGTGCCACGGACAACTTCCTTCGCATCGAGGAGGCAAACCGGCTGGGTATTGCCTACGAGAAGGGGCAAGGGAGGCTCAAGACGATCAACTCGGAGTCCATCCCAATCCATGGAGTTGCTCACAACGTGCCAGTGAAGCTTAGCGAGTGGGAAGGCCTCATCGAATTTTCCGTCGTCACCATGGACGATCACCCAGTCATCCTCGGCATCAACTTCCTCGATAAGGAGGGAGTGCTCTTGAAGGCCAACTCCAACACGATGTGCTTGGAGAAGGAGGGGGAGTTCCATGCGGTCCATCTATTGAGAGAAGATGGCCCCCATAGTGCTCTATCGGCCATGCAGGTATTGAAGGGGTTCAAGAAGAATGAACCAACCTTTCTTGTGTCCTTGAAAATGGAGGAAGAAGGAGGCTCAACGGGAATCACAACTCCCATCATCGAAGGCGTCCTCGAAGAGTTCGACGACGTGATGCCATCGGAGTTGCCCAAGAAGCTGCCACCAAGAAGAGAGGTGGACCACAAGATCGAGTTGGAGCCAGGAGCGAAGCCCCCTTCGCGAGCACCATAGTGCATGTCACCACCAGAGCTAGAAGAGTTGCGAAGGCAACTCAAGGACTTGGTGGACGCAGGCTACATGCGGTCATCAAAGTTACCTTTTGGAGCACCAGTGCTGTTCCAAAAGAAGAAGGAAGGGTCGTTGCGGATGTGCATCGACTATAGAGCCATCAACAAGTTGACAGTGAAGAACAAGTGGCCGATTCCCAACATTGCCGACTTGTTCGACCAGCTTGGAGATGCGATGTGGTTCACCAAGCTTGATCTTCGCTCGGGCTACTATCAAGTGCGGATAGCAGAGGGCGATGAGCCAAAGACAGCTTCTGTGACGAGGTATGGCTCTTACGAGTTTCTTGTGATGCCATTCGGTCTCACCAACGCACCAGCCACGTTTTGCACTTTGATGAATCAAGTGTTCGAGCCATTCTTGGACCGGTTTGTCGTGGTCTACTTGGATGACATCGTCGTGTATAGCAAAACACTCGATGAGCATGCCGAGCATCTACGCCAAGTCTTCCAAGTCCTTCGCGACAACGAGTTGTACGTCAAGAGGGAGAAGTGCACATTTGCCGCCACGGAGGTTCCATTCTTGGGGCACATCATTGGTGGAGGCAAGTTGAAGATGGATGGAGCGAAGGTGCAGGCAATCCAAGAATGGGAGCCGCCGACCAAGGTGCCAGAATTGCGGTCATTCCTCGGCCTTGCCAACTACTATCGGAGGTTTATCAAGGGCTACTCCAACATTGCAGCACCCTTGACGGATCTCTTGAAGAAGAACAAGGCGTGGGATTGGTCGGAAAGGTGCCAAGAAGCATTCGAGGCCTTGAAGGCAGCGGTGATGCAGGAGCCCGTGCTCGTGCTCCCCAACCCGATGTTGGCCTACGAAGTGCAGACCGATGCATCCAACTTCGCGATTGGAGGTGTGTTGATGCAAGATGGGCATCCCATTGCCTTAGAGAGTCGGAAGCTTAGTGAGACGGAGAGGCGATACACCGTTCAAGAGAAGGAGATGACGGCAGTGGTGCATTGCTTGCGCACATGGAGGCACTACTTGTTGGGGTCAAAGTTCGTAGTGAAGACGGACAACGTGGCAACGAGCTACTTTCTGACGCAGAAGAAGCTCACCCCTAAGCAAGCGAGGTGGCAAGACTTTTTGGCAGAGTTCGACTTCGTCATGGAGTACAATCCAGGCAAGGCGAATTCCGTTGCAGATGCTCTTAGCCGCAAGAGTGCAGCCGCAAGCATCAGCCAGCCCATATTTCCTTTGAAGGAGCGGATCGTTGAAGGCCTTGGCCATGACCCCTTCGCCAAAACCGTAGCGGAGTACATCGAGCAAGGCAAGACTCGACGGTTTTGGATGAAGGATGGGCTCATCGTGACCAAGGGAGAGCGAGTGTTCGTGCCAAGGTGGGCCAACTTGAGGAAGGAGATCATGAAGGAGTGCCATGATTCCAAGTGGGTGGGCCATCCCGGCATCGAGAGAACGCAAGCGCTCATCGAAGAAGCATATTTATGGCCACGTATGAGAGACGACGTGGAGATGTATGTGAAGACTTGTCTTGTGTGCCAACAAGACAAGATGGAGCAGAGAAGCCCGACAGGCTTGCTAGAGCCCTTGCCCACGCCTCAACGACCATGGGAGAGTGTAAGCATGGACTTCATCATCGGACTTCCCAAAGTCGATGGATGCGGTTATCATGGTTGTGGTGGACAGGTTCTCGAAGTATGGAGTGTTCATTCCTGGGCCAAAAGACTTGATGGCAGAGGATGCGGCGCGTCTATTCTTCAAGAACGTGGTCAAGTATTGGGGCATTCCTAGCAACATCGTGAGCGACAGAGATGGGCGCTTCACGGGCCGATTTTGGCGAGAGTTGTTCAAGATCATGGGCTCAGACTTGAACTTCTCGACGGCATTTCATCCTCAAAGCGACGGACAGACGGAGTGGGTGAATGCCTTGTTGGAGGTGTACTTGCGACACTACGTGAGTGCAAACCAACGAGATTGGGTGAAGTTAATGGATACGGCACAGTTCTCCTACAACTTGCACCGCAGCGAGTCCACCAACACGAGTCCATTTGAGTTGGCGACGGGGCAGCAACCTTTGACACCTACGACGGTGGCAACGGGGTATAGAGGCAACAGTCCGGCAGCCTACAAGTTCGCTAAACGCTGGCACGAGAAGATGGAGATGGCCAAGTCTTACTTAGCCCGCGCTAGTAAGAAAATGAAGAAATGGGCGGACAAGAAGAGGTGGCACTTGGAGTTTGAAGAGGGAGACATGGTGATGATCAAGTTCTACCCTCATCGCTTCAAGCATCTCAAGAACGTGCACAAGGGACTGCTTCGCCGCTATGAAGGGCCATTCCCCATCGTGAAGAGGATTGGCAAGGTGGCGTACAAGGTGGAGTTGCCGACGCACTTGGAGATCCATCCGGTCTTTCATGTGAGCCAACTCAAGCCTTTCCACGAAGACAAGGAGGACGAGCAGCGAAGAGAGTCGCAGCGCGCACCAACACTCATCACCAAGACACACGACCATGAAGTTGAAGAAATCATGGCGCGTCGTGTCATTCCTCGTCGTGGCGTACATCCAAGCTTTGTGGAGTACTTGGTCAAGTGGCGCAACCTTCCAGAGAGTGAAGCAACTTGGGAGAAAGAGCTCACGCTTTGGAAGAACAAGGACTTGATCGAGGCATTCCATCAAGAGGACGCGACGAGGGCATCGCGAGCATAGGTGGGGGAGGATGTCACATGTGGCAGATGACATGGCGCCAACAAGGTGACAACAAGGCGGCTGCACATATGGCATGTATGGAAGACTAGTAGCATAGAGATGCTCCTAGGATTCTCCACCTAAATGAGAGCTTAATGGTGCACTTATGAGTCACATAATGGGTGAAATTTATAGAGTGCATAATGGGGGGGGGGGGGGACTTAATGGGGTGTATTGATGTAGAGGGACATTATGAGGGGCATTGATGCCTTGTATGAGGAGAGGCCTATATAAGGAGCCATCTCCCTCACTTGTAACTCATTCCATCATTTTTTAGAGTAGTACACACTAGAGAGTTCTCCCAATCCTTTGTCTTTGTTCTTGTTTCTTTGCTTGCAAGTGAGTTGAGAGAAAGGCTGCCTAGCACTCTAACGGATTTGAGAGCTAGGGCCGCACGATCGAGAGTAAAGTCGTGACAGTCCCCACGGTTGGATCGTCCTCCACCGTCGCCGCCTCAGCAGCCCACCCACGGTCACGTGCCTCCTGCTTGAGCGCGGCTAGCGTGAACTCGATCTGCTGTCGTACGCGAGCCCATGCCTGATCGGTGAGCTTTGTTGAGCTCATGATGGCTCTGATACCAAATGATAGAACCTGGTTCTGAGATTCTATCGGGAATTGGGATTTAGAAATTAAGAACAGAATTAGGGATTTGAGAAGAGAAAGATAGAGAATCGGCCTAGGCATTTTGAAGGATTGGGAACGAGAACTGAGAGGATTGGGAGAATAGGGTTTTGGAGAGTTTTCTTATTATTCTTCTTATTGATTCCCTATTCGTCTTTAGCAACGTACATGTATAATAAAAGAAATAGAAGATAATAGTCCAGAAAACCGTCCTGAATCATCTCTGCTATCTTTGAGCACCTACAAGTTATTAGATTCAAGCTAATAAATATAAATAAAAAGAAACTCACAAGTATATTGTAATTATTACATCAGGAGGAAGAGCCACAAGATAAACAAAGGCTACCTTCTGACCAACAGAGCCCAAATCGCCAGCCCTTGAAGCTTCTGATTTCTTAATTAACCTCATCCCAGATAGGGATTCATTTGATGAATGATCAAGCCGTGTGCTTCAGGGAGATAAAGGAGGAAGGGAAAGTTGAGTCGGATCAGAAAAGTTGGGAGAGATGTATCTAGCATTTGTGCTTGTCATTGGGGATGGAATAGTCACAGGGGCAGTTTCAAAACTTGCACGAGTTTGCCTAGGACTATCACTGTTTCTTAAGTATGTTGGAGTAGAAGGGGAGACAGATAGTGAAAAGGGAGGAGAAAGCTGACATTCATCATATAAGGGAGCCCTTTGATGCAATGGTCGTCTATGGTTTTGGATCCTTTCCAAGGGTGGAGATGGTGAATCATATGACATTTGGGATGTGCAGTGCAGTGGTGGCGACCCAGCAAGATGACGGTTGACAACCGGTTTATGGAAACCACTTGTCCAGCTATGCGGTCGTTGAGAAGGTACTGAAGTAGGAGCGTGCATTACTTCAGAGGGGAAAGATATGGCACGATCTCCTTTGTGTGAAGAGGGAAAGTACCTAAGAGGGTCAGTGGCAGGGCTACCAACATAATCGGATATGATTTTGGGAGGCATTATGGTCAACGTCTGAAGGTTAAAGTCGGACAATTGTGGGCGATAAGTCACCGATACATGTAGCCTGCCAGGAAAGGCTTCAATAGGAACAAACCGATATTCCTTCATCATTTCCTCCTCCACCCTAGAGAATGGTTCGGAGAAAGATGAAACCTTGTAAATGATATCAAAGTTAAGAGATTGGCTAGAGGAGCTAAGCTGTCTAAAGATTCGGTATGCTGGAAGAAGCCTCGTTTGCAAGTATAAGGAACGTAAGAATATGATTGACTTCTTATATGTCTTCTTATAAGAGGCAGCACAACCCTCACCAGGTTGGGAAGCAGTAACTCTAGGAGGTGACTCAAACTGAACGAACCACCTCTCTATGACCGTCTCTGTAGCTGTTCTTCCTGATGAACCAGAGAGCACATTGTTCACAGATGAGACTGGTGTCCGTTGCTGAACAAGTATAATGTCAATGATCATTGGATCCATCAAATTCCTATGCCAGAAGTTCAAGTTATCTAGTGCAGCTGGGTGATCCCCAAGTACCAGATTGAACCATTTGTCACTCTTCCTTATCGGAGAATCACAACACGGAAGAATAGATGGGATCCGAGAGTCCAGTATAATGTGCAAGCTCTTCAAAAGGAATTGTGAGACCACCTGTTCCAGCTTTCCGGATTCGGAATGAGGAGTCATGCCGTGTAAATCCATGGTGGTGGATATGCAAAGGCAGCAAGCAGTAGCAGCTGCTATGTTTGTATCAATCTTTAGCAGCTAGAAACCAATAACAAACTATGAATCCCATGAGGAACCAGGCATCCCAGCAGTCGACTTTGAGATGAGAATTACTCTCGTTTCCTCAATCGATCCTAGTATGAGAGCCATAGATGGCGGTGGGAAGGTATGAAGCGCTTAAGCCCTAAACAGCAACACAGATTACTTATGGGAGAAAGGCGGATTTTGATTTCCTGAACAAACCCACCAAAATGAAATATATGGGAGAAGAAATGTTGCATAGACAAATGAGCTAAAGACTGGGGGGATTTAAACCAACCTCGAGATAGATCTGCCATTAATTTAATTGAGAGGAATTCCTAGTAGACGAGAGTAGACCGATCAACCAAACGTCCTCGCTTCAACTGTAGTCAACAAGCGATGAGGATAAAACGGCACCTGATGAAATAAAACAAGGGAAGATCCAAAAAACAGAAGATATATGTAAAGGTTGAGCACGAGGGAAATCGATGATGGTATGGGATTTTAACAATGGCAAAATCGGGTAAGTTACCTGCCCACTCTCCTAATAAGTAGCTAACAAACCCTCCACTAACCAACTAACTATGCTGCTGGAACTTGCAGCTCAAGACTCGATTCTGGACTCAATTGACCCTATACTAAGACTCAGGGACTCAAGACATAATTAACCAAAACGACTCAGCACTGCACAACAGTGCTTTATTGACACAACAACTAAAACGAAGCAGCAATGACACAGAGCACAGAAGCAGCTTCAAACTTAAACCTTCGCGCCAAACCATCCTCGCGCAAAACCTTCTTCTTCCTTCTAACATCCTCCCCTGAACTGAAGAATCTTCACAGGCTTCAGTTCATCACTTCCCAGCTTCAACAAACACATCAAACTCACATATTCCAAGTCTGCTTCTTAACAATTCAAAAGTTTCCAGCTTTAATGGCTTGGTCATGACGTCTGCGATTTGATCTTGTGTTCCACAGTGTTCCAATTCGATTACCCCTACTTTTGCCAAGTCTCTAAGGAAGTGAAACCACACATCTATGTGTTTACTTCGTCCATGAAGCACAGGATTCTTGGATAGCTTAATGGCTGAGCTATTGTCACACAGAATCCTTATGCTTCCATTCACACTTTTGTTCCAACCAATCCCTTCCAGAATCCTCTCTAGCCAGACACATTGTGTAGCACAAAATGATGCAGCCACGAACTCTGCCTCTGTAGTAGATAGAGTCACGATTGGCTGTTTCTTTGATGCCCAAGACACCACCCCATCAGCAAATAAGAAGGTGTAGCCACTTGTACTCTTCCTGTCGTCCAAGTCTTCTGCATAGTCACTATCAGTGTACCCTATCAGAGATTCTTCTCCACTTCCTGCCTTGTACCAGATTCCATGTGACATGGTTCCTTTAAGATATCTCAGCACCCTCTTTGCAGCCAGCAGGTGTTGCTTTGTTGGTATTTCCATAAACCTGCTGAGAAGACACACAGAAAACATGATGTCTGGCCTAGTGGCAGTGACATACAGAAGACTTCCTATGAGTTGTTTATACTCAGTAGGATTCACAAGAACTCCATCTCCAGCTTTGGTGAACTTCATCCCAGGAGAGATGGGATTTTTGACAAAATTGCAGTCTGAGAGCTGAAACTTTTCAAGCAGATCCTTAGTATATTTCTGTTGACAGATGAATATTCCAGCTAGGGATGGCAACAAAACCCGAACCCACGGGTACCCACCCGACCCAACCCGGTCAACGTGGGTAAAATCCGTGTTGACGGGTTTTGGACCGGGTTTGGGTTTAAACCCGTTCACTATTCACCGGGTTGGGTTGGGTTTGGGTTTAGGTAAACCCGCCCACTCATATAATTAATTTTTTCGGTATATTTAATATTCTAAACAACTATTCTTATTTATGTTTGTGGAGACATGTCTAATTTTTTCTTTTTAATTGTGCAGAATGAAGTTGATGTTATGGAGTGGAGACTAAAGAAACTTAATTAAAAGAAAGAAGCTTTCAATTAAACATGTTATTTATGGATAATTTGTTATTTGCTTCAATTTTCATGAGTTTTCTAGATTGGTGTTGAACAATTTGTATAGTTAATTTGTGATTTGCTTGAATTTTCTAGAATGGTGTTTTATATATGGATAATTTATATTGAGAGATTGATATTTGACTTTAATTTTGATAAGAACTTGTAATTATAAATTTTTTACGACAAAACCCGTGGGTACCCATGAACCCGCGGATACCCAACGGGTTGGGTTGGGTTTGAGTTTTTCAAACCCGGTGGGTTTTACCCCGGGTTTTTTTCAAAGATAAACCCATGGGTTTGGGTTTGGCAAAACCCGACCCAACCCGACCCATTGCCACCCCTAATTCCAGCCTTGCTTTGATGCACCTCTTCTCCCAAGAAGTACTTCATTCTTCCAAGATCAGACATCTCAAATTCTGCCTCCATTGATGCCTTGAACTCAGCTATGCAATTATGATCATTGCTTGTGTATAGAACATCATCCACATACAGGCTAACAATCAGTATAGTTGTTGCAGTCTTTCTTATGAACAAAGTATGCTCATAGGTGCAACTCTCAAACCCAGTTTTCAAGAAATAAGACTCAATCCTGCTATACCAAGCTCCGGGAGCCTGTTTCAGGCCATAGAATTCCTTGTGAAGTCTATATACCTTGTGTTCCTCCCTAGCAACCACAAAACCAAGTGGTTGCTCAATATAGACTTCTTCAGAGAGCTCACCTTGCAGGAAAGCACTCTTCACATTAAGTTGGTATACAGGCAGGCCATGATGAGCAGCAAAAGCTAGGATGGTTCTAATGGTGTCCCACCTGACTACTGGAGCAAAGACTTCAGTGTTGTCAATTCCAGGCTTCTGAGAGTACCCTTTAGCTACCAACCTTGCCTTTCTCTTGTCCATAGTATCATCTTCTTTAAGCTTTGTTTTATACACCCATTTGATGCCAATAGGTGTGATTCCAGCAGGTTTGTCTGTTAGTGTCCAGGTCTTGTTCTTTTCAATTGAATTGAACTCCTGGTTCATGGCTTCATTCCACTCAGGATCCATGGCAGCTTCCTCATATGTTTGAGGATCTCCTAAGTCAGCCATCATAGCCATCCAAACTGTGTTTGCAAAACTGCAGTCATAGATAGACAAGTGAGCAGGTGGTTTTCTTACCCTTGGCCCCAAATCTCCACTTGGCAGTCCCAACACATCTGTAGAGGTGCCAGTGACTTCTTCATCAGTCTCTTCTCCTGTGGTAACAGCTGTAGGAGTTTTGGGACTAGGTGGTTGTTCATCTGCCAGACTGGTTGATGCTTCCTGCTCAATTTCAGCTTCTGAGTCAGAATCCTCCCAAATATCATCACTTCCTTCCCACAACAGTTGAGTCAAAACAGTTTGAATCTCTGTGTTCCATGTCCACCCTTTGCTTTCATCAAGAACGACATCCCTGCTGATGATGATTTTCTTGGTGACAGGATTATACAACCTGTAAGCTTTAGACTCACTAGAAATTCCTAGAAAATAGCACTGAGTACTCTTATCATCAAGCTTCTTTATGTGCTGATCTGGAACATGAACATATGCTACACACCCAAAGATTCCGAAATGTGAAACTGAGGGAGGATTACCTGTCCAAAGCTCCTGTGGAGTCTTTCCTTGATTGGCCACTGTGGGACTTCTATTATGAACATGGGTTGCCAAAGTAACTGCCTCAGGCCAGAATGCAGAGGGAACTTTGGTATCCTGAATCATACATCTAACCATATTCATTATGGTTCTATTCTTCCTTTCAGCTACCCCATTCTGTTGAGGGGTTAGTGCAGCAGTAAGCTGTCTTTAGATGCCAGCCTCATCACAAAGACCCTTGAATTCATTTAACATGAATTCTCCTCCCCTATCTGTCCTAAGACACACAACTGCTAGGCCAGTTTCTGTTTCCACTTGAGCTTTAAACTTTCTAAACATGCTGTGTGTTTCTAACTTAGCTGATAAGACAAAATACCCACAGCTTTCTGCTGTAATCATCAGTCAGAGTAAGTATATATCTTTTACCTCCATTGGACATAGGAGTGAGAGGATCACAGAGGTCAGCATGAAGCAGTTGCAGTTTTTGGGAGGCTCTCTAGTTGCTCTTCTTGGGAAAGGGCTGTCTTGTTTGCTTCCCCACCAAACAGGTGGAGCAGACTCCAGTATCTCCCTGCATCCATGGAAGTCCTTGAACCAGGTTTTTTCTCTTCAGCAATTGCAACCTTTGCAGGTTAATGTGACCAAACCTCCTGTGCCACAAAGATAGAGGTGACTCAGCTGATTTTGAGGTCTGCAAACAGTGCATGCTTGTGGTTTCTGTCACAACATCTGCATGAAGTACAAACATTCTATTGGACTTCATTTCAGTTTGGATCATCAGCCCCTTCTCCTCATGAAACACCTTGCAGCTGCCATTCTTGATCAAGAAGGCCATGCCCTTTTCTTGCCATTGACCTATGCTTAGAAGATTAGACTTCAAAGCTGGCACATAGAAGACCTCCTGTATAGTAATGGGAAGTTGATTGACAGTGAGCTTCACTGTCCCTTTTCCTGCAACATCAAGCCTGGTATTGTTGCCAAGCCTGACATTACATGTTAAATTGGTAGTCAGATCAACAAACCACTTCTTATTGCCAGTCATATGATTGATGCAGCCTGAATCAAGAAACCACCAGTCTTCACTGCCCTTGTCACATGAGTCTTCTATAGAAGCCATTAGCCGCATGTCATCCTTCAGATCCCCAAAACTCTTGTCCTGAACATAGCTAGTGTAATGTGCCTGATGAGTGGTGTACCATTCTGGACATTCATTTATGTAGTGGCCCAGTTTATGGCATTTGAAGCACTCAACAGTATCCTTACTCCAGCCTCCTCTTCCTCCTCTACCTCTTCCTCTTCC